GCTCTGGCTGCCCACGGCCACCGGCGGCGGGGAGATGGGGGTGGCCGGCAGCGCCGGCGCCGTCGGGGTCACCGGCGTCACGGGCGTGGGGGGCAGGCTGGAGTCACTGAGGCTCAGCTGGCCGGGCTCGGCGCTGCTGCTAGGGGGGCCTTTCGCAGAGCTCTCCTTGCTGCTCGACTTCTGCAAAGAAGCACGTGGAGCAGGAGCTCCTGTGGCCAGGACCTTCCCTCTCGGGGCAGTTCACTGGTACAGGGCTAACATTCGCACAAGTGAGAGAGAACTCAAATAGGGGTAAATTTTATCTGCTGGGGATGCAGAGTTTATGGATTAATTTAAGTCCCAATCTCATTTCCAATCCTAAAACCATCTACAAAAAGCTGGGTAACTTACCATTTTTGCTGGAGGTTTGGGCTTTTGCTGGAGAGCTTTCTTGGCCTTTGCTGCAGCAGCTTGAGCCTGGTGAATCCGTTCTGCAAACATAAATTATTAGTAACCATTCCTGAACTGTGCACAGGCAAACTGAGTTAAGGAAGTGGCCATCCAACACTGGTAATTCACTGTAAAATCTAACAAAGATTCCTTTCAAACTGACACCTTATAATGTAGGACTGGACTTAGCTGATGGACTACCCTTAGCAAACTGACTGCGGGAAGAAAAAAGCTGGACTGATAAATTCATGTTTGTTATCCAGCTGAAGTGGGGAAAGCAAAACACACAAAGAGCTTTATAAACATCTTTGCTTCGGAAAATACAGAATTGGGCAGTGTCAGCAAGCCAGGCTTACCAAACTCCTCCTCACTCCGGTCCCGGTGCAGGTAAATCCACAGCTTGCGGCCAATATCATATTTCACACAGGGGTCTTTCTCGTAATGCAAGCGGTCCAAAGCGCCACTGACAACAGTATTAACCTGGAAATGGAGAATTCACAGGATCACAAGATGCCTCAGCTTTAGCTGGCCAAAGGTCATGACTAGGAAAGTAAATCCTGTTTGGCATAAAACTCTCAAACTTCGCTAGCAATGTTCATTTGAGCAAGGGCGGGCTGTCCTTTAAGAACAGATGTTGCAGCAGAAGGTGCTGCTCTCCTATTCAGATTAAATGGAACTTGGCCCAAAGCTGGTGTCTGAGAATTGAGGGTGTTTCTCAGTCTAAACTAAGAGCAGCTACGTGACACGATATTAATTACGTGGCCTTTCTAGCTGGTTTTCCATCATCCAGAGTTCACTGAAGCTGCAGCTCACAAAAATGATATAAATAACAATTCCCCCTTGCAAGTTCAGGGAGTATAAGAATTACTTAGTGAATACTGTCTGGATTAGTGTATTCGAGGAGCGTGTGTTGGAGGCAAGAGGTGACATCCAACCTACCTGAGCACTTGTGACATCGGGAGCCAGGAACTGGGAATCTTTGAGCAGCTCACAGATCTCAGCGCGGGTTCCTTCGCCGTTAGGAAGGCGAGCGGCAGCATCACGAACTGCAGCAGGAAAATCAGAGTTTAAAATTCTCTGGTTCTAGCCAAGTTCTGCAGCTTGGGTGTTGCTTTATCCTCACTCTCGCAGCGCTTATTTGCTCACTAAAGGGATAACGGGGATGCCTTGAAGTTGCTTTTTTCTGCAAAGGATGCACCTTACCGAGGGACAGGATGGTGACGTACGCTGGTCTGTCTGAGCGCAGGAGAGAGTGTTCTCGGGCTTTGTTTAGTGACGTTTCCTTGTCAAACACCCCCTTCACAGGGCCAACCACCGACTCAAAGCCATGCATCCGGAAGGTGAAAGCCTTGTGGGGCTGGCTGTAGCGGTAACGCTCCTGTGTGCGCAAACAAGAGGGGCACAGCTCAGCAGAAAGGGGAACAGTCCTGAAGCTCGTGCTACACAAGCCACGAAGAGACAGAGCATTTACACTGTGATATTGTCCAACACAAAAGCGTTTCAACGTGCGGGTCTAAAATGGAGAAGATTCTCTTACCTGCTCCTGAAAAACACGTTTCTCCTCTCCAGTGCTAGGTCGGACTACATAGTCAGTCCTTCTGAAACAAAGATCACCATCAGTTCTGTGCAGCAACAAGACAACCACAATTCCAAAGGATATCCCCAAGGATTAGCCCTCTTGCCCTTTCTGCAACTTTTTGTCACACCAAGGAATAAATTCTAAATAGTACTTGTATTTCCAGCTGCTAAATGTTCAAAGTTTGATAACTCCTTATCTACAAATTTTGAACTGATGATATCTACTTACACCCTAGGAATTGGTGTTGTGCCATCTGAGCTGTCTTCATTTTCCTATCCAAAAAACAGAGATAAGTCAATATTCAGTATTACTCAGGTTCGGTGCTACTAAAATGTGACTCTTCAGACTCACCTTGAAGAAGGTTTGGTCTTTGGTCTCCAGCCAGAGCTGAAAAAGTGCTGCCAATTCTTTCTCGTGATCGTGGCAAGAACCTAATCCAAGAAGTGAAGAAAAATAGGAAAAACACAAGTCCTTTATTTGTTATGCAGCCAGCACCCTGCTGTTTATGCTTCCCAGTCAGCTCCCACTCCTTTCCCATCTCTTTTCCATCCAAACCAGTTACAAAGCAACTTCAGGGACGCTCCAGTTGTGCTGCTTGAACAGTCAGGCTCAGGAACATGCTAAAACCCAGCCATCCCTTGTGCTGATATGAAAGGCTGTGCTTCAACCCCAGACAAGGCACTTTGGGGACATTGGCAGCTGGGTCCCATTCTAAATAAACCCAATCACACAATCCCTAAGGAGAAACTGGTGCCTCCACAACCTCCACCAAGGACTGTAAATGGACTGGAGAACAGCTTTGTGACTCCCAATCTCAGCACACTTAAGCCTGCAAACATGATCAAAAATTACAATACTTTAGAAAGTTTTGCCTACTGGCTAATGCCTACCAGCTTTGAAGGGTTTGCATAAGGGTGGCTGGATCAGCAACGGAAAAAAAGTCCAGTGCCTTTGCTGAAATGTAAAGTCCTGGAGAGAAGAGCCAACCTTTCCTACAGTAGGAATCATAGAAGAGTCGAGCTTACTCACCAAGCAATTTCCACTGCTGAGTTTTTTCCCTGAATTCAACAAAAGGAGAGAAGCTGGAAGGAACATCTGCAACAAAAGACATACATTTCCTAGACATCATACACTGGTGCACCCTCCTCAAAATCCCCAAAATTCTCAAAATAACGAGAATCACAGAACAATTCAGGCTGAAAGGATCCTCTGGAGCCTGGCTAGTCCAACCACTAGGGCCAAACTCAAGTCTCCAGTAGATTGCTCCTCTAGCTGATTTTTGATTATCTCCAAACACGAGCACAACCTCTTGGCCCCAGGAAGAGAAAAATCTCTTCTCTTTCAAGCACAGGCTCACAGACAGGAGAAAATGACAGTGTTACAATCCTAACAGTGTCTGTCCTCGGAGTTAAAACCTAAACCAGCACTGATTAGAAATCAGTATGGTTTTTAGCAGCCACTCTTACCTCTGCTGTCACCTGTCAAGTACTGCAGGGCAGGCAAAACCAATTCAGACCAGTTGGAGGCAAAGGAGAACCAGTTATTTAGTGTGCTGGCAGGAGAAGATTGCCAATCTAGAACTTTATCCTCAAGCTGAAAAGAAAAAAAAAAAAAAAAGAGCCCTATTACAGATATCGTAATTTGATCTATGAATATTTTAATAGAAAACAGAGCAGCTAAACACGTCAAAGGAAAAGAAATACATATACATGCGCATATAAAAAAACCTGACTTTTTTAAAGTAATCATAAGATTCTATTTCAGACAAATGACACTGAAAACTGATACCCCACACTATCGCTGGCCTATACACATATAATACAGGTAACAATGATCTATAAAAATGGATATGGAAAGAGATAGTTACAACCTGAATCGACTCATTTGTGGAAATATGCTAAAAACAGAATGTGTGGCATAATTCCAAAGTGCTAGGGCAGGGGGTTAATCTCTAATCTATGTTTATATAATTTAAAGCAGGATATTGCCAGAGAAAATCTCTGCTACACAGGAGTCCAAAAATCTATTCCCCAACTCTCCTTTCTGTCCTGTAAGACGTGTGGGTGTTTGCTTACCACAGAGAGACTAGCAGGCCCTTCCAGATACAGAATCTCCAAAAGAAGGTAAAAGAAGCTGGAAGATATTTCATTTATTCCAAGGCATGGCTTCATGTCTTCAAGAGGTCTTCAGAGGAAAGAAAACACAAGTGAAGCTTCCTGATTAAACAGTTGCCTTCATACACAGAGAGGAACACTACACGTTTTATACATCCCCCACTTTGGACGTACACATTTTAAAACCTGCACAATGACAGTGGCCACTTACTCCTCTTTGACAGATGACAGAGGAAGCGGGGAAGAACCCTGAGACAGTGATGGGATCCCATCCGCGTTGCTTAGGGAGTCGGCCAAGTCTTCCACCTCGGATTTAATCATCTTCAGTTTTTTCTTCTTCTTGTCTTCCTTTTCTCTCACCTTTTTCTTCAGCGTTGCGAGGTCAAATAAGGCTTTAGATACAATAAAGGTAAGAAAAACAAAGAGAAAACATCTTACTAGATTGCAATGTTTATAAACTAACTATACTTTTAAACACATTTTCAGAAGTATATTAACTGTGCACTCATTCACCAGTTGATTCCACTCTTGTAGCTATTTATACGAGTCCTTTTCTTCCTTAATGCCCTCCAGTGTGATAGGAAAATTCATTTATACATCCGGAACTGACCTGTTAAGGAACCTTTCCTGCCAGCATTTACACGAGTCATAATATCATCAAGAGTCAGGTCGTCTGTCATTAGGTCTGGGTGGTCCTGCAGTGACAGAGAAAAAAAAAGAGGAAAGAAAAAAGTGGTAAGATAGCGACAATAATTAAACGCAGGCTATGATAAACAGTTGAAGGGCAGACACATATGACAACAGCCAGAAATGCCCTTCACAACAAATAAAAGAGCAAAATTCTAGTCCAAACCCTCCGATTTGTTGATATCTTACAGGCTGACGTTTTCGTTTCTCATGGTGCTTCTTCAACATCATCCTCAAGTCGCTTTCCCCAAGTTCTATCCTATCTGCAATGAGAAAAGTTCCAAGATGATTTGCACAGTTTCCCACTGCTCTGATGGTACTTTACACTTCTTAGACTGCTGGGTTTTTTGCTCATCAAGCTCCAAACTTCAGTCACTAAATCTTCCTTCATTTGGGGAAATCTAGTGTTTCAATCAACCAGCCCATTTCTTTAGACTCCTCCCTGGGGCATCCGCATGTAATTGCTGATTTAAGGATGGAAGTGAAAAGAAGGGAAAATCCAGCTGTGCGGCAACTGCGCTATACTGTGCACTACGCTGATACTTCAGACACTAATTAAAGAAAATTCATTAGTATGACACAAGCTGCACAACCTTGTGTTAAGACAACAGTTCTCCAAGCAGAAAATATAAAATAAAGCAAAACAAAACAGGAAAAGATGATCCAGGTGTTTTGGAGATGATTATTTCAGATGAAACCTTGAAGTTTTTCCTATCTGATTTCTCAGAAAGTCCAAAGGGAGTCATCACCCCTCAAATCCTATTTACACCCTACATTGGCTCTCACCTGCTGTTTTCATGTCCATAGTCGATAACGTGGGGATCACTCGCAGTGGAACTGCTGGACTTGGACAACGAGCCGGAGAATTTGGAAACCAGGAGCTTAGATCTCAAATAAACAAACACACACGTTTCTGTGAAAGCACCTCCAAAGTGAGTTAATTCTATCTCTTCATGCACAATGCAACTGGGGGGTCCAGTTTCCACTCTTCTATCAAAGACACTGCCTTTGTATCAAAACTTTAGCTCTCCCCGCTGACACTCCAAACCTTTACTGCAGTCCAGGGCGTTACCTTCCTCATCAGAGGACAAGGTAGTGTCTCCACACTCCTCTTTCACTTCCCTCAGGATCTTCAAGTAGCGCCGATGGGTCCGTCGGTCCCGTTCTTCGGTGTCGCACACCGGTGAGAAGCGCTTTTTCTTCAGGGTCATATCGGGCCCTCCTCTCCTAGCTAGATCCAGCAAGTACTGGAAGACGAGACAGAGGTGACACTGTGAGGGGTTTTATAAAGATACACTTCCTCCTTCACCTGTACGTCTCGCATGTTTAAACGTCTGAACTTAATAAAAAGATCAAATAGAAAAAATGAGAACTTCAAAGCCTGAAGTTTCATATATATCTTTGTGAATATAAAAATTGCTGAAGTGATCTTATAGGGGGCACTGAAAAGTCAGGCAAGGAGCGCTTATTAAAAGGGATCACTAAGAATTGTGAAGGAACAAATACCAAGACATTTGGAAAAAAAAAAAAAAAAAAAACACTTGTTGCAAAGAAAGCATCAAGGAATGCAGGACTACACCATGAAGACACTCACATTGCGGGATGCCAGGATCTGCTTGAGCAGTCGGTAGAAGTACTGCTGCTGAGAGCTCAGGTAGCGCTTGTACTGGGACTTGAAACAGAGCTGCCTGTATTTCACAACTTCAGGATTAAAGTGCCCATCTGGAAGGGAAAAAAAAGCTTAAAACTTACAGTTTTCACCAGCTGCAAGTAAAAAACATAATTCCCAAAATACGCTGAACACACCGACCTCCGAAGAGCTTCTGGGCAATGTGCAGGGGGTTTCCGAAACGGAAATTCTCCCCGCTGAACAGCGCGGAGATGAGCTTGTTCTGATGCTCTCGGCTGTTTTCAGGGAAGTGCGGCAGGAATTTTTTGAGGTGCTCTTTCTGGGCATCTGTCAGCACCTCCTGCCACGTAGACAGGCTGACAACTTCAAAAAAGATCTCGGGCTAAAGAAAGCACAGAACAGGAGGGATGAAAATGCATCCGGCATCTTTAACAGGGATTCCTGCAGTAGGGAAAACTGGAAAAGAGCACAACGTAAAGAGGAAAGGGAAGGAAATTAAGGCTAACGCTGCTCAACTCACATCTTCCAGCAGGTCCTCGGGCAGGCTGACCCTGGTGCCACCCAGCATGCAGTCCTCCATGATCCGCGTGCCGTTCCCCTCCATTCCCAGCTCCAGCGGGTCGGTCAGCATGTGATCCAGGGAGTCCATTTCTGCGCTCGCCGCCCTCCCTAAGCGGCCAAAGCAGAAGCCACATGAGCCCGGCTCGCGGGTCCGCAATGGAACAACAACGTTCTAGGAAAAGCACTGCACGGAGCGGTTAAATGCAACCTGCAGAATCAGTCTGGCTGCCAAACGGGTGTCGGGCTCCGTTTTTACCGGAGTGAAGCGGGTTGCACACCCGGGGAAGGCTTTTCCAGACACCGCACCCCTGCGCACAGAAACGCGGCTCTCCCTAGCGACTCAGTGACCTCTTTAACTTTGATCCTTACCTGCAGGAGCTGCAGCGCTTTAAACACCCTGCAAGAGGATCAGGGTTGACCTTTTCCAGGTGTTTTCCACTGCAAAAGGGCACACAGGGCCAGGCAGCTGTTCGGACGCCCAAACTCGACAGCGGCCGCCGCGCTCCCGCGGTGCCCGAGCGCCCCGGGGGCGGCTGGAACCGCAACGGAGCGCGCGGGGCCTCCGCTCCGCGCGGCCCTCACAGGA